AAAAAGGAAAATGTTCCTTGTGATTTTGTAATAATCTCGAAAAAATCTGTATTGCTCATATTTAAAAATGGTTTTATTCGTTAGAAGTTGTCAAGGAACACAAAACAGCAGGCGATTTTCAAGTGGTTTCTTTGTTATAAAACTATTCTCGAGTGCACTCTTACCATGAGATAATGCAATAGAAAATTTCAATTTACATAATTTATTCAACGTGAGACAGGAGTTAGACATTTCAATTTAGTTTTAAATCATGGATGAAAGTTTGCATTCTATAAAAATGGCAGTAGTCGCCCTGAACGCAGATGTAAAAATCATTCTTTGAGAGAGCTGAGAAATATATTTTGTTGCATGTAACTGTGTGACTAGAGATGTGAATTAGCTTACTAGTATATTCAAGTTTTCAATTTTATAATATTTCACAAAACAGAATCGTATTGTTCAAGTTATATCAGGTTAGAGTTCAATTTCTTTTTCAAAAATAATTTCTATATCCATTGACTTTATTTTCTATTCTCTCGCTTTCATTGTTGGCTAAATTCATTCATGTTTGATTCATTCAAAGATCTGGGCTAAATCTGTCGTTCATTTTAATATATATCTTTTAATATACATCTCTCTGTCTGTCTCTGTATGTCTCTCTGTCTGTGTGTCTGTCTGTCTGTCTGTCTGTCTGTCTGTCTGTCTCTCTATCTCTCTCTCTTTATATGCGTGGTGTTTTCATCTTGCAAGACAATTTTTATCTTGCAAGACAATTTTTCTTTTTTAAAAATAATTTCTATATCTCATTGACTTTATTTTCTATTCTCTTGCTTTCATTGTTGGCTAAATTCATTCATATTTGATTCATTCAAAGATTTGGGCTAAATCTCTCGTTCATTTTAATATACATCTTTTAATATACAGCTCTCTGTCTCTGTCTCTGTCTGTCTCTGTCTCTCTGTCTGTCTGTCTGTCTCTCTCTCTCTCTCTCTCTCTCTCTCTCTCTCTCTCTCTCTCTCTCTCTCTCTCTCTCTCTCTCTCTCTCTCTCTCTCTCTCTTTATATGCGTGGTGTTTTTATCTTGCAAGACAATTTAAAAAAAGAAAACAATAGTGTTATAGGCAACTGACATTTCTGTAAAATCAGCTATTTGTCTGCTTTAGTTTAATGTGTCTAAAACAAATTTAAAAACTGTCCCGCAGTAATAACTATTCAAACTGCTTCATGGTAAATCATCGCTGATTTAGTAAACAAACACATATAGTAGATCAGGTTCTAACTGGGGCTAGCAATATTATAGCTTCTTGTGCATGGTATGCATTTGTCTGTTTGTTCACATACAAAAGATTTTATTCATAGATGTGAACAAATTAAATATAAGAAAATATCTAACATTACTTCACAACTCGAAAAGACTCGAACATTTATTTCTCATAAATGAAAATATGTTTCATGTATGTGCAATTCTATTTCACTTATGCGAGATAATTATTTGTTTTATACATGTTCACACGACATTTTCACGACGTTTGCATTTGTGAAAATCAATTAGACATATTCCCATACCAAAAGACATTTATCAGATATGTTTATCTGTGCGAAATTCTTTTTCAACCGATGCTAAACAATTTCACAATTTGATATGCTTAGAAAATAATAAGTTAAAAATAATTTCTTATCTCTCTCTCTCTCTCTCTCTCTCTCTCTCTCTCTCTCTCTCTCTCTCTCTCTCTCTCTATATATATATATATATATATATATATATATATATATATATATATATATATATATATATATATATAATATAAATAATATATATATATATAATATAAATCGATGATGTAGAGGCTTGCCATTACACCAAATTTTTGTAGGTGACGACGTATGTAGAAGATAAATATACTAACTACACGTCCATTATATCTGCAAGGTACACTTCCATAAACGTCATGTTCATTCCTTGAATGTTCTGAACATGGTTTAGAAATCTAAGAAAGGAAAATATGCTGTGCAGCACTGGACTCTTATAGACACTTTTGTCATAGCATTCTACATATAAATTATGTACGATTTTCTGTACGAAGTGCAAGCCAATTGGATTATGCGTCCGTAATTTGGAGAGTTATTACAAAAAGTACCCCCATCCTGCTAGCAATGTTACAAAGGAGAGATACTCATATGATATATATACTCAGACATATATCTTTGTACTTATAGGCGAACAAAATATTCACATCACTGAATTACCTCTCCAACATGCTGTAGACAGAATGGATAAATATTTTATTTAGGTTGGCAGACTTTCGTGTCTGTCTTTAGTTTTTGCGTTTGACCTTTCCAAAAACATGAATGAGACTTTTGTTTATCATAAATGCGATTATTTTGACATGCGAAATACGTTATGTTGAAACATATCATTTATAGATTGTATCAGCATACACATACGTACAGTTCTTTAGTTATTTACGTCACTTATTTATCTATTTATTTATTTTTCCACTAGGTTTGCGATGGCTTAGGTCTTGGTTTCCCAGCTCTCGGCAGACGAGATTCCAAAATCTCGTTACAGTCACGTGATGTCTCAATCATGTGCTGTAAGAAGGACCTGTGTAACATGCCTGTTCTGTCGACTGACTCACCAAGCACAACTAAATCCACTGAACTACCAGTGACAGGTATAGACAAATGTAATCCGGGAGGAGTAAACATAAATAGACTTGTGGTTTCACATAGAGATCCTTGACACTGACTAATGAACCAAGCGAAGAACAATCATACAGGTGAATGCTTGGTTGGTGATAGAGGGACGGAGATCGACAAACACCTACCCCTTATCACCATGGAGCCATGTTTTCAAAATGGTGGCCATAATGTTTATTTCTCTTGTTCTCGTATTCCCATCTGTGTCACTATCCCCACCAGCCATACAAAAAAATCCATATCGATCATTTTAAGAACCTCCCAAATTATGTCATTAGTCAGTCTTGCTTTCATGTAAAGGTGATATTTTAGCAGTTTATCCTGTATAAGACTAAAAAATATATTTTTATATTTATTAGCACACAAACTTTTAATAGATAATAATTTAACTGCAAGTTTGCCCAGGCCACTAAAATATTCACTCCTGAATTTTCGAAATTTCCTTATATAAGTGAAGTAGTTCGGCCGTTATTCGCACAGAATAGAATATAAATTACGTGTAAATAGTTGCCTTAAACATATAAGATACAAAGAAAATTTAGCTTTTTCTTAAGCAGATGTAAAGAAATATTGTACTCTTGAAGTAGAAACATATTGTATTGTCAGGAATGGGCAAGCAACGTTTCCATTTTGCGAATGAAAAGATATATCCACTTTTTTTACAGTTTCGTCAGGACATATACATTGTGCAAGAGATATTCTGTTTATTGTTGACTCTTCCGACAGTCTTGGACCAGAGAACTTTGGGCTGATGAAGAATTTCGTTGCAAGCGTAATCAATGAGTTGACCATCGGTGTATCTGAAAGCTTAGTAGCCATAATGTCTTTCAGCTCAAGCCTTGTTTTGGAGTGCAATCTGAACACGTATGATAACAAACAGACCCTTATGAATGCCGTGCCTCGTATCAGGTATATAGGTCTAGGCACTAATACGTCAAATGCGCTGAATTACGCTCGAACTCGAGTCTTCACTTCGGTTGCCGGAGATCGCCAAGGTTTTGCAAATGTGGTAATCATTCTGACGGACGGGCGATCAGGTAATCCGGTCCAAACCGCGATTGAGGCTGCCGCTCTGCATCACGTTGCCAAAGTGATCGTTATTGGCATTGGTCCAGCAACTGCTATTAGTGAACTGCAAGCGATAGCAACTGATCCTGATCAACAAAACGTACTCCTGGTCAGAGATTTCCATGAGCTCCAAAATATGCTGAAACCCATCCTGTCCGTCGTGTGCTAATTTGTGAGGGCACGATAAAATTCCACTGAAATAAATATCTTTGTAATCTACTAGTTTTACATTTTTATCGAACCCATTTGTAAGTACCTGTAGTGAAATCATAACAGCAATCTCCCGCTATTTGTTTCTAACATATCATTATCTAATGTCAAAATAATAGGACTCCAACTTATACGATCAGGTTCTTTTTCCCAAATACTAAATGGCCTCTTGCACATTTGAATATATTGATGAAGTCGCCACACTAACACTACTATACAAATAAAAGTGTGAACCGCGTGGACACTACTAGGAATTAAAACAATCGTTCTCTATTATTTTTCCAATCTATTTGGGAAAAAATATTTTTAACATGTTTGTTGAACAATATAAATTTATGAGGTATTATGGAAAACTCTTGTTGTTCGCAAATGTAACTGACAGCAAATTCCCTGATGGTGGAAATGTGTATGTCATAAGTAATTGTTTCCTGGGTGGTGGTGAAGTTTTAAGACTCGATATTTTGGTAACATGGTTAAGATCTGACAAATCCAAAATAGTATTAATTCTAAACATGACCTAAATTACATGGTATGGAAATTTCTGTGATTTATATTAATATTTCCAAACGTACGGGGTTCATTAAAGGTTCAAATGGTCCACATTTAAAGCTAGTATTTATTTTTGATTCATCTTAATCACATCACCTGGCACTTTATCTGTGGCAAATTGTTATAAGACGCGGTTATATATATATATATATATATATATATATATATATATATATATATATATATATATATATATATATATATATATATATATATATATATTAAAACCCATATAAGGCACCAAAGCAAGGATCTACACTATCGTCTCTCGAAGACGGACGGATGCCAACAACAACTAAAACTAATGGAAAATAAATGATTCTCGCGAGAAATGTCATTCCATCTCACCTAAGCATACCAAGACTGTAAGATATGGAGGTGAGTATTAGTCAGGTATCATATCAATTCACTTAAGCGCTCTACAGCTGAGATATATGAACGAACACACGGGTCAAGTGTCATTTTGCATGTCACTTAAGCTCTATACAGCGGAGAGATACGTACAAGCTACGTGGTTACAGCATTCGCCTCGGATGCGGGATGTCGTGGGTTTGAACCCCGTCATAATCATAGCAAAGACTTATAAAAATGGTACTTGCAGCTGTCTCGCTTGGCGCTTAGCATTAGGAGGTTAGTGTTAGGACTGCTAGGTCTGTGTCAGGATAATGTGACCGAGTGGGACATGTTGCCAGGTGTCTGCGTCATGATGCCTCAGTGCAGCTGCTAGACCTCACTATAACTGCCATACTGTAGACATCGTAGCGATATGAATATAATTGTTAAAGCTACGTTAAAATCCATACAAACGAACAAACACTTTCTTACATGTATCATACAGGAGCGAGTAATCACCCCCAAAACACCCCAAGACTCTTGTAAAAAAAAAAAAAGAACAAGGCACCGTAAGGCATGTTCAGGAGCGGAAAATACCAATGAGAGTCGAATCCATAATTTTTATGATTAACATAATGAAAACTTAAAAAACATTTGCTTGTAGTAATACATCTGTTTTTAAATATAAATCATAATAAGCACTAGATGTTTTACAACTAAATGTATTCCAAATATCTTGAGCAAATATTTACTCGCCGTCTGTAATATTTCTATTTTTTTTAGTTGCGAGTAAAATTTATCTTTGCCAGGCAGAGAAGTTTCGTCATATCTGCTCCGGTCGTCGACATGCTCATACAAAAACACTCCTTTTCTTGTCAGTAGACTAAATTTATCTTCAAAACAACTCTATAGGTTAGAAATCTCGCTACCAGCTTTCACAGCATTTTCTATATCTTCAATATACTAATGTAAATCGCAGCCTGTCAATACAACGTAATTTACCGAGTGTAACTGACACATACTTTTCCAAATTGTTTGGAATACATTTTATTGTATTATTTAATCTTAGTTTAGATTCAATTTCCTCTTTGCCAAAAGCTTCTACAGTGATATGATTGTCATAGCCACGAAATTTATGTAAAACTACAGGAATAAATTCTGGACAATGAAATTTTAAATTGCATCGGTTATGAGTTGCTTCTCGATACTGACAATGATCTCGTACGTTACCAACTGAACTTTATTCAGGCAAGAAATTCAAGTAGTAGTTTGGATGTCATTTTCATTGTGTTATGAATTTGTTAGAAATCTTATTAACTTCGTTTATTAAATGTTTTCACAACCATATGGCCTGACTGTCAGACTCGCAATTTTTACATCTGTACAACTTTACTTGACCTCAAAAAAAAAATCGCTAGCACAACAAACTACTTTATAAGCTGCTCTACAAAGGACAGGTGTTTTTCTTGTACTTGATTTATTGGAATTATTTTCTGCGCCAGAAACGGGAACAAGTAGACACTGAAAATCAACATAAATCTAAAATGGAATATTTAGCTTATGATCATAATTTGTAAATTTAAACACTTTTTTTCTCCTAGCATAGTTATTCTTTGAAGGTTGACACAGTATTTGAGATGCTCTTGCCGTGTTCCATCTTTAGAAAAACCCGGTAGACAACTATAACATTAATATTTCTTGTTTTTATTTTTATTTTATTGTCCACCAAATAAAACATTAATTTTTTTTTATTCAGCAATATTGTCCTCGATAAAATAATAAATTTATCGTCTGTTTTGTAGCATTTTCTGAGATATATCTCGCGTAAATACTTTCTGTTTCATCTAATCTGAAAACATTTACTGAAATAATTTTTTGGTTTTCAATCTTTGGTATATAATTTTCTTCTACTGGAAAGTTATTCCAATAAACTTTAGCTTATTTTTGTATGACAAATATTTTTCACTTCTGCCGCGGTTATCATCTTGATGATATTTTGCAGATAAAATGGACCAGTGAAAATATGGGTCATCGTTGCGTCTGATGTTTATACGACTTATTTGTTTCTCATTTGTTGAGAGAGATAACGTAAGAACTACCGCGAAGTACGTTATATCTTGCTGCGTGAAATAAAACTTCTTTTATCATTTTAAATTTCAACGCTGTCCTGATGCAGTAAATTCCTCCGATTTTTTTTATTGATAGATATATTTCATTGGAGACAGGGGAAAAATTTGTTCCCGTTAATATTATTCGTGAATTATCTGTTAGATATGGTTCTGAAATTTCGCTGTCAAACGTTTATTTTCAAAGAGTGTACCAATTATATATTTTTCAATCACATGTAATTTTGATAAAATCGCATGATACAAAACTAAAAGAATTATACTTTTGTGAGCTGCAAATTATTTTGATATAACAGGTTGCAAACGATTAAATAAATTTATGGACCTAAAAAATTGCCAAAACATTTTAATTATCAAATTTTTAACTGTTATCATAACCAGAAAATGCACTCATTTTTATGCTTTGATAATGCTCATCTTAGCAATACCACGCAATTTTAAAATTATATATGGTATATTTTATATTTAATTAATTTTTTTAATATTTTTTTCAATTAGAGAAACGAAATGCTTACTGTATAATGGCAGTAATCCTGAAATATATTAGATTGACAGCGAAAGATCAGGAAGCTTATCATGTCCAACAAAATTATAACTTATACACTGGAAATGCACTTGGCTCAGTTATTCACATAAAATCTAAAAAATATATAGCTAAATAAACTCCAGCTGGTATGATATTTTAGAAAACAAATTTTATTTATGCTTTGTTTCGTGATATTACTCCAGCTAGACAGCGAGTTTATCGAGTAAATTGTGCGATTACTGATGATAATATTGAAAATTTATCATTACAAGATGAGTTTCAACCTCATTCTGCGTTTGATTTATCTAAAGTTATTTATAAGGGATTATAAGACATAGAAAAACTAAAAATGTATTCGGTAATTTGCAAAATTAGTGGATATCTTATAGTAACTGTTAGAGGAAATACAACTAAGTTAGTCATCTATTGCTTGTTTATGAAATTTTTCATGACGATATTTAAAATAATTTGGGTATTGATCATATTAACAGCATTAAATTTGATAATCGTCTGGAAAATTAAGATCTAAGAAAATAAAAGAAAACAAAATCTAAATAAAATAAGATCTAAGAAAATAGAAGAAGAACTACTGGTGGCATTAAATTTGCTAGATCAATTGTTTCAATGAATCTTGATACTGGTGAAGAAATGAAATTTAAATCAATGACAGCTGCTGCAAAATATCATAAAATGGACATCAAATAAATTAAAAATGTTGCAGACGGCAAGAGCAAACCAGCAACTTCAGCATTAACATTTGACACATTTAGTTTCATATATGATGAATAATGATGTTTCTTAAATCGGTTTTAGTAAGACAGCCGTGGAGGAGCATTAGGATACCATCATTATCAAATTTTATTATTATTTTATTAATAATGTTCTATTATTAAGTTTATTACTTCTGATGCTGTTAGCATAATATTTTCAGAATCACTTAAAGTTATAATAACATTTACCGAATAAGCAATATAACCTGACAGACATATTCGATCCAATTGAGCAAATATTTTGTAATTTAATATATCAACCTTTTGATGATATTTTACTTCGGGAGATTTCGTTTTGCTTGACATTATTATTCATCAATAGATTTTAAAAAATATATTATAATGTTAACTTGATTAAGCTTCTTGCTGATATATATATGCCCTTAGCAATACGATCACATGAGATTTCATGTTTAGCGATACAATCACAAACTGCAATTTTATGCCAAATCAGATAAATTTTCTGGTTATAAAGAATACGATATTTTGTATAAAAACAGTGACGATTAAGATGAAGTACTTGATGAAAGCGACGCTGTCGTTGACAAAACCTTACATTAGACAGACAACTGGACGATATAATATTTAGTATCATATCGCTGACAAAAATAATAAAATTTAATTTTATGTTACCGAGCAACAAATAGTTTGGCAACTTATAAAACCTTTTCTTAGCGTAAAAGTAACTTAGCGTAAATGTAACAGGCCGGCAAAGAAATACAAAATACGATTTTATTACCGCTAAAATATTTAATTTCATGCTAGTCGATAATTCATGCAAGAAAATTACATTTAAATATCTTATGTAGGCCGGTCAGATGTAAATCTGTACTACTGAAATACAAGCAAATTTATAACAATATTATAGATCCAGTTGCTATCCAGCTATTAAATTTATCGCTATATCCTCTCCATTTAAGTAAACTTTTATTGCCTTTTTTACTAAACTCTTACTTCAATAAAATCTTTTGTTAATATTTTGAAGATCTTGCTCGTAAATACAGCAAGTTATAGGTTCACCAAATAAATCTTTATCGCATAAGTAACTGGTATTAAAATTACTTTATCAACAACAAAACTTCTTCGCTCCAGTTAGGAAAAAAAATTTATCAAATGCTTTTTTTCGTCAGAGAAATTCTAATCTTATCACCACTTTTTATTTTGGGTCTGCGGTACACATTTTCGTTTGCTAATATCGAAATTTAAATTGCATCGTTTGGCGACATTTTCCTTTCTTTAGCAAAAATGGATATGTCTTTCGTGTTATTATATTCGTCATCAATTTTCTATAAATTGTCAGTATATTTTTTCGTATTATCAGCTGTCAAATATTTTTAAGTTTAGAGTGAGATAAAATCGCTTGACCGCAACGCTTTTACTTCCATTTCCTGTAACATTTTCTTTTTATGCTATTTTATTATAAAAACAGCTCAGATATTTTACTAAAACATTCTGCTTCATGATCGATACAGATTCTATTTGGTTTTCTCTCTGATTTTGTTATTATTTGTTTTAATTCATCAGTTATAGACATTCCTGCCTTATCTGAAACGGGTATACTAAACGCGTCTTTGCTAAAATAATCTACAACATTAAAAAGATATCTTTTGTTATAATTAAACTTAGCTTGATTTGACACATCGACTAAATCTATCGCTCAGATATCTTCAACGACATTTTGCGATAACTATAGGTCGCAGAAACATTTTTGTTAGGTTTGTGTAGCTCAGCTTCAAAATCACCATATACTTCTCTGTCGAGTTCAAGTTTGTATTTGGTTCTTATCATTCCCTGAAAAAACTTTCTATCAAATCG